TTTGAGCATTGAAGTCACCAGCCATCATCACTATATCAGGGTGCCTAACGTTTCGGATGAGGCCTGTAAGTTTTTTGAAGAACTCACCTTTCATTTCGTCCGAATTGCAGCAGATATAACGGAGAGGCAACGGTGAGTCTCCCTATCTCTCCGAATCCTTACTGTCCCGTTCAGTCGGTCAGCTCACAAGCGACTATCTAGTGGGATGCCGTCTAGGATAGCTAGTTCAGCCGTACGACTGAATGCTATATCTACACCGGCGAGACCCAGGGAAGCAGCATCAGTGCTTCCAGATCCACGAAGGGTAAATCGACTTGGTTCTTCATCTTGAAATGGTGAGGTCGAGTGAATCACGCTACTCGTATTCTGTAAGCGCGTTTCCAAGACGCAGCACACATCGATTGAGCAAGATTCTAGGGTCCTAGCTGATGAAACCTGTTGCCCTATTTGACACAATGTCCGTACATTAAATGCTTCAACATGTAGGTTAGAGCTTTGTTTTAGGAGGCCAGGAATAACGTTTCGTTTGCAGCGGGGTGCAGGGTGCCAAAGGAATGAGAGAAGAGTTAGTCGTGAAGATGTCAGGGGGTATAGGAAGGATTTGATTAGGATCGATTTGGTCTCGTGTGCTGTTACGTGTATGAGGGTGGTTTTCCATTCGCGGCTGCCCACACCGTGGAAGAGTGTTTCTTGAGGAACCTGAAAAAAAGAAGGTAGATTAATGTTGGTCTTAACGACCAACAAGCATGACCGCAGAGTCCAAGGAACAGCTGTTTCAGGCCAGTTACGCACAGCCTTTTTATGAAACGTTTTATGAGCATGAGTTCCGCTCTTGCTAGCCCTTTGTGGGCACCTTCACCCCCAGAAATGAAAGTCCGCGAGGTATGGTGAGGCGTGACATTTTTAGGGTCGACGTTTTCTAACAACTTCCTTCCTTGTGAGAACGCAGCATCGCTGCAGATGCTGGTTGTCTGAGGGAAACACCTCACTGCTGTTACACTCCTCTTTAGTCAGCAGTACGACCTCGCCCTCAGACCTTGACTAGCTGTTTTTGGTCTCGTCGTTCCCCATTCGACCTGCATGGCATGGTAGAACCTACAGGAACATATATTCCAGTCAATATAGCTCTGTTTGGTCATCACGATAAGCAAGGGTTGCAACCACGTCAAGATAGCAGCTACGATCATGCCAGTTATATTTTCCGTCTGTATAACTGTTGTTGACGTTACAATAGTGACCTGTAGACCGTAATAGCACTAGAGAGACCAGGCAGTACAACCCTAATGACAGCTCAGGCTATTGGTTTGGCATTGTTGTTACTGACTCACTAACATGGCATTTTCATGTTTGCCTGCTATACATAAATGGTAGAAACCATAGCCATTTAAGTGTTAACTACCAAACACCTGGAACCGTACCGAAAGAACAAGAATCGAGCGCAAAGCAATCAATCGGTTTATATTAGCTCGCTTAAAAGAAATTGGATAATGAACTGTCCGTTTAACAGGAAATTAGGAGACAAACCCTGTTCTGGTTTTACTTCTTTTAACATTCAGTGAAATGTTCTAGATTATCATTTGAGACTCTCGGATACAATTACAAGTGCCTCATTCGGCACGCGGAAATTATAGAAAAAGTGGTATCTGATGCTCGGGATTTAACAATATCAGAGTTCATACCCCATTTGATATGTCTAGAAATAGTTACAAAAGCGTTATTTATTTTAGGATTTATGCTATATCTGTCTGTCCGCTAGTAGGACAGTGAGGAATGTAGGACCACTGAAATAACACTGGGTCCTGGCCAGATCATCCGTCAGACCAGTAATTTAATGTTATGCGGGGCGCTGAATTTCATTAAGGTCAAGAAAATTTACCACCCGACTACGTGTCGTGGACAGGCGCGTGTGATAGTGGTTCCGCGACACAAACGAAGAGTGTCTGTACATAGTTCGAACAAACAAGGAGTTCCGTACAACAATCACTGGTACATTTGGTTATAATAATGAATATTTCTATTGAAGCTGTCGGTTTCTATTCATAAAAGTGGATTCACTACAGCAGCCACCCATAGAAAGGTTTACAAATTTGATACGTATTGGTTTCGTTCGTGGGACCGATAAGCAAAACGTGCGACTGTGGGACGGAAGGGTTAACAAACAGGAAAAGATCCGTGATGTTCGAATTGTCACCAAAGGCCTTTTACGGAGGACGGAGCCCTGAGTAAGATGACATGTTTGCTGCTCGAGTTGGCGTATCATATCAGAGTGGATTGTATCCAAAATCTGAAGATTGCGTTCTTAGGAGTGCGGACCAGAAAACGCTGCAGACATTGAGCCAAGAAACCAGAAAGGACCACAGCAACCAAGTTCGAGACCGTACGTATCGCAGACATATTCGGAACCAAACCATCGACTGAGTGCATTGACAATAGCATGAGTGATCAGGCCAGCTTTCACAAAGACTGATTGAAGTCGACAATCCTAACAGGGCGATGGTCGGGGGCGTGGGCTAGGGATAAAAAATCACAGAAAAAGAAACGGGTATAGCAAGCATGTAGTAAAGGGCATAATCCTGAACAGTATATGTTGCTTACTGAGGCTAGTCGCGAAATCGTGCGGGTAGATGTACCTAGCAACCGAAACGTTTGAAAGTTGTCTCGTTCGTACCTCTAACTGAGAGCTTAAGACTGTTATCTCATCCGAAGTCAAGGGCGGCGTGGTCTGCTGATCTGGACGTGCAACTGAAGTCTCACCTGTAGATAGTGCTGATGGCGCTTGCTCCTGACCGGGACGAGAGAATGAGGTCTCTGACGTATCCAGCGTGTGATCCGAAGGAGATATTGGGACGATCAATGCTGACTGCGTCCATTAACTTCGAATTCCTTTCGTGACGAGAGATCACATGAAAAGATTCTTCGTAAGGCTGTTGCGAATTTTGCGTATGAAAACATAAGAACCAGTAAATAACTCTCGAGGGAGAGCGACCTGTCGACATTTTATTCCAGCTGACGCTGGAGGTAGTGTTCGCATGTACGCAGATAGTCGTTGAACGTTGTCTGATATTGATAAAATCGCTGCTCTGTGGTGTGAAAAATTCCTCGGGCAGATGCTGTGTTGTGCCGTGTATAAGTTCAGAAGCGGAAAATTAGATATCCGCCGTCGCTGATCAGTGGCCGCCACATTTTTTCCAACTAATGCCATCATGTTTTGCGAACCGAGTGAAGAGGGGAAGCTCAAGGACTGTGAGAAAGACTAAATATTACATATAACAAGTAAATTGTCAAACTGTTGCTTAGCGAAAACTAATTTGTCCAGTGCCAGTTGGCGAGGTTTTGCCATGAATGGGGGACTGCAGGTGACAATGTGGCTTACCACAAATAATCACTGGTTGAGTCCCCTCTGTTTCGTTACTTTGGGGAATTTATCAAATATATGATGAAATAAATGATCATGCGCAAATGTACACCAGTGATTCTTTAGACATCTGTCAGAGCTATAAAACCCATGGACTTAATATTTGACGAAGCATCGATTGACTGAAGCCTACGTTAATCGAATAGCAATTCATAGAGCTGCAGGGAATCGATATCGAGTACCCAGTTTCTTCATCATGCTAGTCACTAGTGAGCTCAGAGTCCAAGTGAGAAAAGATGACCAGTGGTGTTTAACCCTGCTGGGTGTAGGCAGTAACTATCGAAGACAAATAGGTGAGGCCGCGGAAACCCCAAAGATTGATCAGAGTTAGAAATTAACACAATTGGATGCCGGCCCAGTGGTCGATAGGTTAGGCCTCCGCCCGCAAGGCCGCAATCCTGGGTTCGAATCCTGAGAGTAGCAGATGTCGAGGAGGAACACTACTGACGAGTCCTGTAACAGGATGGAACGGCCATCGAGCGCTTCCAGGTTCCTAACGGTGGACAAACAATGATTGATTGATGAGTCCAATGTTTAAAGACACTAATTTCCATAACTCTAATTGAAAAAATTATAAGACTGTGGACGAACTAAAATCGAATTTGAAATCATCCCGATTTAACCGCTTCTCGAAAAGTCTATAAATTTGCGTTTTATAGCAGTTTAACCTAGAAGTACTCTGCAACCTTCGTCAACGGACAGTTCCACTGGAGCGGTGCCAAACTTCACGCTACCGGTTGTCATTCTCGGCTATCAGTACGTCTCATTCTCATCCTTTTGTTATATGTGATTGTTGTCGATTGCTTTCTTAATTGAAAGTAAGTGCATTTTGTTTTCTAACTGAGTCGTCGGTAATATTTCCTTTGTTCTTTTCTCTTCCAGATAACCTCACATACTGTTCCTTAGGCTAGACGCAAACGCATTGAAGGCCTAACACTGCTCGGTTGTCGGCTGATTTCTTTGCTAAATGTAAGTTATATGTTGCTACTGAATCATCACCTCACTATCTATTCGTACCATAAGTTCTAGTGTCTCTCAAATAACGATTTGATTTCTGATTATTCACGATGTAATATTACGCGTTGAGCTGATATACCAGCTCACTATGGTGACCAATCGTTGACATCCTGTAAAAACCGTTGGGGTAACTTCCCAAATCTGGTGAGAATTCGCGGTTCGCCTCATGTTTGTCTTTGCGTATATCGAGTTAGACACTTAACAGCCATGCTTTCCCCAGCGTTTTCCCGAAAAAATTCGGTTTGTTCGAAATCTCCTAATTTTGATGATAGGATTTATTGCAAATGGCAGTCAAAGTTCAAAAGAACTTTTGATTATAAGCTTTCATATAAAATTGGATGCACAAACTGTTCTTGTAAATAATGGACTACGACTCACGTGTTCTAAATATGTGCACATCTAACTAAGACCTCTGTTCGCAAGATAGTACATACCGAATATGGATTTAAAGAGATACTGAATACAAAAAAACTAAGTATCGCTGTTTCCCATGCATCTGTTGACAATTTCACTGTGGTGCAAACTAAGAAGAGTGTAATGGTGATTATATTTGGCGGTAGACAAAGGTAAAGAAACGTAAGACTTCTACATTTCTTATGTGGAGTGGTCGTTTAGATGTTTCAGAAACTTCATGGTTCAGTTAAAACATGTTTTCTTTGTCCACCTAATGTAAATATGTACTGTCGTACTAACTGACTGTTAGTTGCACTTTGATTTTCGGCATGTTGATTTCGATAAGTGTAGTGTGAATTTCGACAGAGTTGTGTTTCACGTAAATGGCTTTCAACTGGTCGATGCTGACGTCATCTTCCGTTCTATTTTTGATTGTAATATGTTGCTTTGATTCGTAAATTAGAATTATATATTCCTTTATTTGCTGCAGCAATGGGTTAGCCTATTGGATTAATGAGTTGTAATATTAGGAAGTTCAGTTGCACTAGATTCAGTTTTGGCTTTTATTGTACTACGAATCCTGAGTAGGACAGATGAGTGTCAGTTCACGACACGTTTATAACTAAAAAGGCTTTTGAATGTTTATAGAACCGCTCAAACACTTGTATCTGGTAGACAGTCGTTTAGGACCGTGTGACTCTCAAGAGTGTAGCATTGGTGTGAAAAATTTCGAAGTCAAGCTGGTATTCACAGTATGTCATAATAGTCGATCGGCGACCAAAATTTAAAATCCGGCGTTTGATGAGATGCTAGGCCACTGTTTAGCAGTAATATTCTTTATCGGTACTGCTGCTGATCATCTCTAAAACGGTCTGTATATGTCGAGAAATACGAACATTCATCTCGTTATTGTTGCCAGCTGAATCAACAGAAAGATCTTTTAAGTACCGGGAGTTTACATATATCCACGAGTATCTTTGAATAGGTGAATTAGAAAAACTTATGCTACACATGATAGAATCCATTTGTACCTTATCACACATTTTGTCACCTTTTCTATTTCCCATCCTTTTCTGAGTCTAAAAAGATTCAACTAACTTTTAAACTCTCTTCTATTTGCATATTCCCATCAAGCAAAAGCAACGGAGCGACTGTATGGTAACGTAATAATAGCCAGTTGCAACAGCACCATTACCATACGTTGAGCTGGTTCTGTCTTCAGAATGAATCAACCTCCAACTCTGTTGAATTCATTACGGTTTTTGTACTTGGGAGGTTAGAATAACCATATTAGACACTACAATGGTTTTGAAACTGTATTTAAACGTCCAGTTCCATGTGCCGCATATCCGTTTTTTTAATGTGCTCATAAATAACTATGTATCTCAGCATCCAAGAAATATGGTGGATATCTATTGATTTATATTCCCATTACACGAATAGGTTAATTGTTCAGTACTCAGTACTTGCTATAGTGTTAACCTATTCAGATTTATACCACCTGTTACCATAATGCTTCAAAGCACTTATAATTAACTTAGTTTCTTTCAATTTCAAAGTAGCGTTTCCTTCTTACCGTAGTTAGCTTAGTCATACATAGCTTGCAATGTGGCTTTGAAAAGAAAGTTGCTACAAACTCATCCAAGTTTCTAAAGATGTTAGTCGGGGGATGCTAGTGTATACTTCATGGAATTGTATGAATCAAGAAAAATTAACAAGTCCCTTTAAATATTATTTTATGACCCTACGTTCTTTCTTAGTTGGTCCCTTTAAATATTATTTTATGACCCTACGTTCTTTCTTAGTTGGTCTTTTGTGATATTAATTTCAGTCTCAAAAAATGGGACCAAACCTACTTTGCTAGTATGAGTCGTGTACTTCTCAGTCAAACCTTTCGTAATGCAAATCAAACGTTTAAGCAAGGTGGGAATTCATTTCTATGTTAAATTAGTTTATTCCCTTAAATTCTTTTAATATTTCAGACATAAAAAAATACTGATTTGCTCAATAAGAAATGTTGACCATATTTCTCTATCATGATTAAATTGATTAGTCATATAGTTGAACTCAATATTAACCATACTTTACCATCATGTTGTGGTTATAGGGAGCTTTCTTTTGGCTTTCTAACATGAATTAGTTCTTAGTCAAAGTATTATATATGGTCTTAAATACCTATTTTATCTTTAAATTTCCTACATTTGTTACACCGAACTTATACGTTTAGCGAATATTTAGATTGATAGTTTTTCAAAGAGACATATGTAGACAACTAACATCACAGGATCTCTAATAAAACCTAAGAATAACCTTAGTACTCATAGTTCAGTAGTTGTTGGGAAGATAGTTAATAATATATGACAGTATTATGATTCATCTAAAACTAAACTAATATGCTATGATTTATGCATATCTCTGGTTATCTAGTGTAACTAAACTCGGGATGTTTGTTTTTCGTTTGTACTATCACACAATCATTTAAAGTTAAAATGCATTAAATAACTGGAATCCATTTATTTAGAACAGAAAACCGAACGCCCAGTAAAAACCTAGATTCCATTAGGCATATCTTTTTGCCAGAAACACTTTATATTTTTATTCCTGTTCATCGATAATCATGACGCGATTGATCATATGCATCACAGTGTTGTTTGTCTGCAGAAGTATTATGTTAGTTTTTGAAACGAACATCTCCATTTTCGATGTTCATCTTTTTTCAATTAAATCTATGAGACAGTCTTATGGTTAAACTGATTAGAATAAAGTACCAGACTAATCGATAATTGCAAATCAAATTCTGACAAAGCTCATTTTTTTGTGACTGAATATTCTAGGTTTATATCGCAAATACTAAGTTAATTGCACGACAAATGTTGTAGAACGAAATCTAAAACTAGTGTTTACACGTACAACTAACTGTCTTATTAACGGAAAACGAATATACAGAAATAATACTATTTTGTTTTAGGTATGCGACCGATATCGAATTTGAAGAGAGGTCGTGTGTAATAAACATACTTCTTAACGAGAATAGAGAATGATCTGTCTGGTTATTCCATATTTGTCTTAATGAGGTGTAATTTGTCTACTTTTATATGTCGACTCAGAAAATCACGGCGAGTTGTCGGTACGGTACTCTGTTGCTTAATAAAGATTGCAAACCACAAGTACTGGAAGAACCTGTTAACAACAAATCGTTTATGATTTTGGGAATTATTCACCCAATGAAAAGATTCGATATAAGTTTCAGAGACACTTATTTTTCTCATACTTTGTAATTTCTTAAAGCTGATTTTCGACGTATTCGAACTTTTTTAGAAACTGACTGGCTTAACTACTTTTGTCAGTCATCCTTAAAAATATGGAAATCAGTAGTCAGCTCCTCTCTGTATTGTTGCAGTTCAACCAGATTTCCTTTGACTGATAAACTGAATACGACTGGTCAACTCATTCCCCACTTTGGTATTTATTTCATTTTGTAAGATTAATTATTAAGTAGTGGGTTTTCAGTTTTCTCACCTATATGTAGTTGTTGTGTATAGTTCGATAGTCTTGTTACTAGAATATACAGAATTGAGCACATGTAGAGTGCTGAACAGTATATTGCATGCATCTATTACATTTCATGTGTTTCTAATGGTTTGTTTATAACATTTCCATCCATCCAACATTCAACTAAAGTGCTTAATTTTTGTAGTTTCGTTGTATTTCTACCAACGTATGAGTGCGAGTGGCCGTCGTCAGCTGAGTGGGTTTTTCAACCCTGAATCTTATGGACTTCGGAGTGATTTTCGTCTTACTAAATTTTCATTCCTGAGAGGATGAGGTTGTAAAGTGCCTCAAGCTGAACTGAAAAAATTGCTTGAGGCACTAAATCAACCTCAACCCTGTTCACTTCCAGGGAATAAACCATTACTGGGTAAGTTTTGTTTTGTATCTTTATCATTCACATATTTCTATTAACATCAAAGCATTGGAACTCGACTGCTGTGTTATTCCTATCCGAAATAACTTGAAACTTATCCAAACAACCGACTTCTTTTATCCTCTGATTGATGATCCTTACACTATGGTAAGTTAAATGTCATTTTAAGGCTAAGAAGACAGGGTCGTATTACGTGCTGTAATGTACTGAGTGATTTGTATGCGATGGGCGTAGTCGACTGTGATAATTTACTTCTACTTTTGGGTGTTCCACGTGAAATGACCCAAGAAGAACGTGAAATATCAAATCGTTTATTGATGGAGGGTTTTAAGGTAAGTTACAATGTTTTACATATCGCAAAACATTTTCTGTTCTTCAAAGGATTGTGCATTAGAAGCTGGTACATATGTTCGTGGGGGACAAACTGTATTGAGTCCGTGGTTAATGATCGGTGGTGTAGCAACTTCAGTTTGCAGTGATTCGGAATATATTATGTAAGTTATTTAACTATCCAACAATTTAAATGCGTTAAAAACTGTTTGCGAATTTCCTGCATAATCGATAATGGTTGTTGTAGAGATAAATCAATGGATATATTATGTACATGCAACTACTAACTATTCAGAATTTTATTTTAAAAAAGTCTTCTTTGTGGCTTAAAAATGTTGCACTTACAAATTATCCGTTTTATCTCTAGTATTCATGCAATTGTTAATACACATTCAACTGATCATTTATATACAACATACTTCAGTGTATTTAATATCGATTGATATTTTAGACTAAACGAATAATGGTAGTCATAACCAGTTAGTTGATTCTTTTTTTTGAAGAATGACAAATAATCTATGAAATTTCACGGATTTCTTTGGTGTACTTGCTGACATTTTTTATGCGTCGACTACTAGTTATTCTAACAGTCATATCCTATTCACATTATATGTACAAATGCTTGAAATTAATTCGACCATTGAGCACTAATTGATTTTGTTCCGTATTGCCTTTATTGGTGACTCATTTCTAACTATCATATTTGCAATGTTACTTTAGTAACTGATATGGTATTCATCTGGACATTGCTGTGTAGCGTCATCAAACCATGAGGAGAAATTGACATATTTGATGTTTCAGAGCAAGACCTGGCATATTTTCATGCATAAATCACGTATCAAATTTATGGACTAATTGCAAATCGGTTTCATTAATTACATAGTATATAAGAGAAAACAATCTATCGTCTACCACCAAGATCTATCTCATTCCTTCAAAAAAATATGCAGCATTATAAATATTCAATATTCATAAAATTATCACTATTTACACGGACTACTTTACTTTGACCCTCATTTTTATTTATACCTTGTGGAGTATGTTTTCTTATAATCTTTGGTTTTCGACTTGCTGTCGCTTACATTCTCACTTTTTTCTTCTATTCTCTTTCTGTACCACTGTGTCACAACACAAATGGTTTACTATGTTATATGCTTGACTTTAGTTAGTATTTAATGATTTACCAATATTTGATTTCTTACTTCAATCAAATTTTGACAGGCCGGATCAAGCTGTATCGGGTGACGTTTTAGTGCTCACAAAACCTTTGGGCACTCAGGTAGCCGTTTCAGTTTACTACTGGATGTTAGAAGATAGTCCATCTTGGTCTGAAAATCTATGCAACGTCATCACATCGGATAAAGTAAAGAGTCTGTTTCATTCTGCTACTCTCTCCATGACTCATTTAAATCGAACAGGTTTGTGTTACAGTTAACAGTTTCTGATTTTCAGATATATATTGATCTGCTGTCATACAAACATTTTCCTAATTATGTAACTGTCTATTCTATACGTATTTCAGTTAAACTAACTAATTTATATATAGAATAATTTTGACTAAGGTAGAATTATGATCAAATTCCATTTCTTTATGTTTAAATACTAGTCACTAGTTAAGAGTAAAAATAATTGGTTTTTAGATATGGTAAGCTCTCTCTAAGTTAGACACAATTTTCAACATTAAAAAGCATTTATATCTGATCAATTTCTTCTTGAAGCGTCCACATTCTGTGTTAATTAAACTTGCATAAGTGAAAAAGTCATCAGACTCTTGTTTTGTGAGCTTCACCTCTCGAATCCCAATTCTATTTTATTCGATGAAAAACTTGACTACTCTATTTCACACCCAACAACATTACCTTCCAACTCTTCTCCAAAACAATGGCGGCAACATAATCAGTCATCATCGTGAGATCTAGCATAGAGTGTGCATTCATTTAAGTCCTCACCTTAGTTATTTTCATCGGTTATAATGGTTGGTTGACATTTTCTCTTTTCTTTCTCATACGATCAAAAACACCTACTTAATTGTAAACCACACTAACTATTATCTAATTGGGTGTTTTGGAGCTTCTTGCTACTAAAATTAATAATATAGCTTTTGCTATAACATTATTTTGTATTTCAGTTTGTTTTATATCTACGAGTTTGCATAAAAGATATCCTTCTTTTAGTTCTAATAAACTACAAGAACACTTCTCGACTTTCCAAATTACATACGCATGATATATTATATTGTAATGATATGCTTTCAAGGTCCTCATATTTTCTTGACTATCTATTTTAGCTGCTCGACTGATGCATAAACACCACGCACATGGGTGTACTGACGTAACAGGTTTCGGTCTTTTGGGTCACGCAAATAATTTGGTCCAAGTTCAAGCAAACAATCACTTAGCTTTCCGAATTCATACTTTGCCATGTCTTGAAGGAAGCTCGTTAATTTCTAGAGCACTAAACGATCGATTAAAACTACTTCAAGGTTTTTCTCCAGAAACATCAGGTACTGTTTATTTTCGCTTCGCTGTTTATATCTGTGTCGTTGTATACCTTTTATTAATTGTAATATCCTTGCGGTATTCAGTTTAATATATTTTTCAGTAATCTTTATTAGTTTTTTTGATGGATAAAATAATGTGTTTTCTACCGAAATCTAGGTGGCTTGTTGATTGTTCTTCCTCGAGAATCTGCTCAATCCTTCTGTGAAGAGCTAACTGCCGAAACTGGATGTCCATCATGGATAATCGGAGATGTAATAGAAGCCGATTCGAAAAGTGCTTTTCTTGTACAACAGCCAGAAGTCGTAGATGTTCAACATTCCCAAATCATCCCACCAAAATGTTCCATTCTTAGCCAGTAATTTTTCTTTTGCATTTTTCAAAACTAAATCAATCACTTTTTGACTGTATGATACTGGTGATCGAAAATGTTGCATGATCACTCAGCTGATGATGTCTTAAAGAGATTTGATTTAATCCGTTTCCGAATGTTTCCAATCTCACTAGTCAGGTAATCAAATGTTTCGTGGTAAATTCGAGAAATGATTATATTTTGTCTTCAAGCTCTTTGTAATACATTATTGAAACTTTTAAAATAACATCTATTTTCATAAATCGTACTGTTTTTACACAAGAGTAGTTTAGGTGTTGGGAAGAAAAATTTTATTAAACGGCAAATAAAAGCAAGCTTAAGAAACATTGGAAATATTACTTTTCCCTACCATTATCATTAAAATTAGATTGATTTTAATGGTACATAATGATCTTTAAAAAAAACTTGATTTCTTCAAAAGCGTTGGACGACGATGGTTATTCAAACCACTTGGTTAATTAGGATCTAAAAAAATTCTCTGAGCAAGTATATTTATATGTATTTCGAATTCAAAACTAATCAAATTTTCGGTGTAATTAAAAATGTAAAGCACTAACTTTCACAAGCCAAGGTTTTTTATATCCTTAAATCATCTTCATCTGCTCACTTATAAGCATTTTTTCTCATCGAATAAAAAGCCCGTATTTGCTTGAGTACGTATACGAAAATATGTTCCAGGTTAGTTTTATGTGAGTGACAGAAACTCAGTCAAGAGTTCTATCCCTCGAAATCTACATTAACGTGACCATTTAGCTGCCCCCATATGTTAATTTGAACGTTGTTTACAATACCAGTCCAGATTTACCCAGAATTACTTAATTTCAAACTTCTTAAGAACACATAACCTTAGGCTATTCATGAGGCAAACTCCCAATTCGCATTTGGCTTACATCGCCACCATCACCGAACGAAGTTAAATATTATCTACGGAACTAGACGGAGAATGTACATTCTATGGTTCATTTATCATCATCCAACCTAGACCTGGTGGCCACATTTGCCTATCGTGATAACCAACCGAGCTAGTGGCCGGAATATATATTCCTGTGAGTCCTGCCCTACCGGGTAGGTTGACTGAGGAACGCTAAAACTAAAGGTGTGAGGGCGAAGTCGTACTGCTGACTGTAGAGGGATGTGACAGCAGTAAAGTACTTCCCTCAGAAAACCAGCATCTGCAGCGATGCTGCCTTCTCATAAAGAAGGAAGTTGTTAGAAAAAGTCGACCCTAAAAATGTCACACATCACCCTACCTCGCGGATTTCCGTCTCCGGCGGTAAGGGTGCCCACTACGGGCTTTTAAGAGCGGAGCTAATACTAAAAAACCCTTCATAAAAAGGCCGTGCGTGACCGGCATCAAGCAGTTGTCCCTTTGGCTCTGTGGTCACGCTCTCACGTGTCTAAGACCAATGCTTTTGCAGTTTCCTCCTCAGGAAACACTCACGGTGTGAGCAGCTGCGAAGTAACATCCATCCTCACACCTCTTAACAGCACATGAAACAAATTGGTTTCAATGAAGTCCTTCTTATACCTTTCAGTTACTCTCTTATCCCCATGACCAACTCTTATTTTATTTCTTTGCCACCTCGTGTCGCTTATGCAAACGATTCGAGTACACGGTATGTTATTTCTTGTCTCCTGAAACCTCGCTTAAGACTACATGTTGGAGCTTTTAATGTACGGACATTGTGTCAAGTAGGGCAACAGGCTTCCTTAGCTAGGACTTTAGAATCTCGCTACATCGATGTATGCTGCGTCTCGGAAACGCGCATACAGGATCCTAGTAAAATTATTAATCTGATTTCACCTTGTCAAAGTAAAGAAGCAACTTGATTTAGTATTCGTGTTTCTGGAAGCCCTGATGCTGCTTCCAGGGGTCTTGCTGGCGTAAGCATACCATTGAGTTGTAGAGCTGAACAATCTCACCTTGACTGGATCCCAGTAGATAGTCACTTGTGCGCTGTCCGACTAAACGGGACAGTAAGGACTCGGAAAGATAGGGACACCCGTCGTTGCCTCTTCGTCGTATCTGCCTATGCCCCCACTGACTGCAGTTCAGACGAGGTGAAAGACGAGTTCTACAGAAAGCGTTCGGACCTCCTACAAAAACTTAGGCACTCTGATGTAGTAATAATGGCTGGTGACTTTAATGCTCAAGAAGGTAGACTGAGTGAAAAAGAAAGACACCTAGGTGGATGTTATGGTGTCGCGGCTAAGAGAACAGACAGTGGCGACCTCCAAAGTCGTCTCAACGTTGCACCCGACTAGATTACATCGCCATCAGCCACCGATGGCGAGGTTCGATAGATGACTGTTGCTCATTCTGGGGCACATGTTTATATTCAGATCATGCCCTAGTGCGAGCGCGTATTTGCTTGAGGCTTACTGGACGTAGGAAAGACACCGTAAGAAAGCCTTTTAGGGTCTTACTTAATGATAATAAAGCTAATATATTTCAGGAGCAACTAGAAAGAGAGTTAAGCAGCCATGTAAGCGATTCCCATCCGGAGGCAGGTTGGAATGATATCAAGAAGGCTGTGGAAACAGCAGTGATATCTGCTGGTAAGGTTAACCATAAGACTAGGCTGAAGCTGTGGATCTCAGTAGCATCCACCGAACTGATGGATGCTCGAAAACTCATCCCGCCTGGCTACGAGTGCGATGAGGAGCGGAGTCAGCTGAGACGTAGATTGACAAAAAGCCTACGCAATGATCGAGAACAGTGGTGAGTGGAGAAAGCGAGGGAGATGGAAAATGCAGCGGCGATAGGCAACAGTAGGCAACTATTTAGATTCATAAAGGTAACAGGTATTAGGAATCCTAGTGTAAGTGTAAGGATGGTCTTATTATCCATTCTCAATCCAGGAGACTAGACCGACGGGCAGAACACTTTAGGGATCAGTTCAAGTGGCCTCGAGCCACACTTCGGTTTCCCACGATCTCCAGTCATCCTGAATGGCAAATCGACTTATGTTACCCGATTCTGTATGAAGTTGAGAATGCGTTAGGAAATCTGAAGCGAGGGCGAGCTGCAGGTCCTGATAGACTGACCCCTGAGATATTTAAGGATGGTGTTTCAGTTTTAGCAGCTAGGTTGACTGAGATCTTAGGTAGAATCTGGGAACTGGATGTAATCCCATCCGAGTGGTCTCAATCACTGATTGTCCCAAACTTCAAGAAAGGACACAAGTCTTGTTGTGACAATCACTGGGGAATAAGTCTAACTTATATAGTATCCAAAATATTGGCCTCATTAATACTTCGACACTTAACGAAAGCTCATGAAGAGGAGACTGGAGAAAACCACATCTTCACACTACGACAGGTCCTGGGACACAGACACACATTTAGGCGTCCTACAATAGTTGTTTTCCTGGACCTTAAGGCGGCATCTGACTTTGTGGATCGTGAGGTTCTGTGGCAGTATCTGTCACTGAAAGGTGTACGAAAGAAGTACATTAACCTTATACAAGCTCTGTACTCTAAAACTACTGGTCGGGTGAGAGCTTATGGCGAACTATCATCGGAATCGATAACTTCAAGTGGTGTCCGCTAGGGGTGTCCACTTCCCCCATTTTTGTTTAATGTCACAGAAATGCTGCTAGATGTAATCTTATCCTCGTCTGAATTTTCAGGAGTAGACCTATTACCAGGAAGCTCGCTTATCGACTTAGAATATGCCGATGACATAGTTCTATTTAGTGAAGACGCTGATAAGATGCAGTCTTCTGACCACCCTAAGCAACAGTGCAAGCATGTTTGGGATGCGGTTTTCCCGTCGAAATGCAAAATGTTGCTTCAAGATTGGGTCGCATCGGCACCTGAACTAGTGATAGGGAGTGAAGTAGTCGAGCGTGTTGACTGCTTCACTTATCTGGGGAGTCTCATCAGTGCTGATGGCCTGGTGACTGACGAAATCTCAGCTCGGATACAGAAGGCTCGGTTGGCTTTTGCCAACCTGCGTCACCTATGGCGCAGGCGAGATATCCGCTCGCTAACCAAAGGATAGGTGTACTGTGCAGAAGTTCGCTTCGTCCTACTATACGGATGCGAAACATGACCGTTAAGAGATGTTCGTAGTTTACTGGTCTTCGATCATCGGCGTCTCTGAAGCATTGCTCGTGTATCATGGGACAACCGTATAAGCAATGTTGTTGTTAGGAAACGAGTTCTAGGTAGGAATGGCAAATCAATAGACGAAGTAGTGAAACTTCATCAGTTGAAGTGGTTGGAAAATGTGTTACGTATGCCTAACCACTGATTGCCTCGGCGAGCTATGTTTTGTGGTGTAGGAGCAGGTTGGAAGAAAGTTAGGGTCGGCCAGACCAAAACATGGCAGAAATCCATGAAGTCACTGACAAGTGGTCTGAGTCATGTTGGTAGATGTAGGCTACCTGGTTGGAGTCTGTGAGACGAAAGTCACCGATGGTAAGAGACCTTGAACGACATGGCTCAGAATCATTTGCAATGACGCACGTGCATCCACTCTGTGTGCTTTTTAATTTTAACCTTCTGAATTCCTCATAATCTCTACCTTTCTCCCTCTAATTTTATCTTACTGAATTGTGCTTCTCGAATCATATCTTCGCTGCCTAATCTTCTGCATTACCAGTGATACTTCTACCATCACTCTATCACTCTTGGATTTGAACTGACAGTTGCGTCTGTGCTTATGTGGTATGGCAACCTGAACTGATGTACTTACGTACGAAGTTCTGCGTTGTATCTGTTTGTCTGTCTGAGAGCTTATGGCAAACTGTCATCGGAATAGATTACTTCGAGTGGTGTACGTCACGGGTTGCCCACCATTTTCCATTCTTACTCAACTTTGTCACTTAAACGCTTTTAGAGATGATACTATCTTCGTCTGACTTTCCAAGAGTTGAACTTTTCGCAGAACGTTCAACCAGCATTTGCCAACTCACATCACTCATGGTGTAGGCAAGATATCTTTCTGCTAAGCAAAGGACGAGTCTATTGCTCAGCAGTTTTCGCTGTTTTACTTTACGAGCGTGAAACATGGTCAGTAAGAATAAAGGATATTCGTAGGTTACTAGTATTCGATCATAGGTGTATTCGAAGCATCGCTCGTGTATTTTGGAATCACCGATTAAGCAATGCTGGTGTTACGAAAATGGTACTAGGTAGGACTGGCAATGAATGAATGAATGTCCATCAGTTGAGGTAATTGGGACATATATTACGAATGCTCAACCACCGATTGCCTCAAAGAGCGATGATGTCTGGTGTAGAGGTAGGCTGGAAGAAAGGTAGGGGCGGCCAATGGACTACGTGGTTGGCGTCCGCGAGACAATTGAAACTGGTGGTTAGACCTTGAACCACATGGCTCAAAATTGTTTGCAATGGCGCAGTTGCATCCACTCTTTTCATTCTTTCAAATTCTAATCTTCTGAATCCCTCACGACTTTAAATTTGTTTCACTGAATTATATTTTATGAATAATATCTTCGATCGCTAATCTCCGTTGCCGCTACCACTTCTACTATGTCTACTACTGTAGCATTTGAATTGACAATTGCGTCTCTGTGCTAATGTTGTCTGATAATCTCAAATTGTGTGCGTGAGTACGAAGTTATACGTTGTAGCTGACCTATACATACAAATCCTTAGTCAGCATCTGTTGAGTCCTGATTGTTTAAGTAGTTTATTTGGTGACAAAAACTCATCCCTTAACCCTTACAAACAAGATAGGATCCGTTGGAGTTGTTCTGTAGTGGGTCAAGTTGATTATTGTAGGCTACGTTTTCGAATATCCGTGTATATGTCTGTAGGAAAAAAAAGGTTATCCAAGTATAAAAAAGGATAACAGGAAATCAAAATACGTTATTATTCATAAGGCAAGATTCAAAAGCGATTACTTGACAAAATAAATTTCTTTAACAAAGTTTCCACTGATTATCAGGTGAATCGCAAATCATTTTGTATACAGCAATTATTCTTGGACGTACTTTGTGAATGTAAAACACAAAAGAAAGGTGGTACTAATTAACTTTTATTTTCAAGCAGTTTTTTTGAGTTAGACCATTCACTAACAGTTAAGTACAAATCGCCATAAAATCGAAGGGCATGGTTTTCAAACGACCGATGGTCTTTTCTATGCCAACCATCCACGGAAGCCAAATTATTTATCAGATCACGATTCATTTTTCTAATTCGTCTCCAATAATAGTAGGAATTCTTATCAACCTCGTCAAGAGGGATAGGATGTCTATCTGTTCGTAATTTCCAGAGCCAATCTGGATACTCACTGCAAAGATTAGTTGTGAAGAACCTCATACCTATCCGGCCTCAGTGGAATAGGTTGTTCTCCTATTCTATAATTTATACAGCAGCAGTTTACGATTTTCTCCGGGTCTGTTTCAACTTTAATTTCACGTATTCTAGAGACAGCAGCAACCCCTTTGGCTAAAGAAATGAAGTGAGTCAATTGAGAACTAACTTGCTTTAACCTTCTTTGCATAGTTTCGGGTGAATGTACACAGAACATTATGGGAAAATTTGAATGTCAGCATGTATTGATCTTTAAAAAACTGCAAGAACAAAGGAAATTTGATGCATATAGTAAATTTATGGTAACGGTATACAAATTAATTTCAAAAGTTCCTTTCAAGTTACTACAAAACTGCTTACAACCCCATTAATGTAATTCAGTGATTCGGAATATTTTTAGACGAACGACTAGGAGTGATTCTAAGAAACTCCAAGTGTACAACCAAACTATTTATTCAGAATTTTACGAACGTTCTGTAAAATACATACTAAAGTAAACCGCATTTCTAACATAACAAATACCCGCTTCACTTGGATCTATTCACTAAATCCTCCCTAACACCTTTTGCGTAAATTAAAAGAGCTCACAATTATCAGAAAAATTGTTAATTTAAAGAAATATTTATTTTGAGAACCTATTGCATAACAGACTTTATTTGACTTAAACTAGTTTTGAAGCTATTTGGCCACGGACTCAAAAGTTTTTCTATTCTAACTATCTAGTATAAATCTGTATATGGTCGTTCAGTTACTGTGTATCTCATAAATGTAATGTGAAGTTTCACATAATACGCACCTCACATCGTGTGGTGCACAACTTCACATTACACCTAGCCTCAACACATTCCAGTTAGAAACAAGTGCTGGGATAGCATTTCCTATCATAAGTTGTGCAACTCATTCTGAAGCTTCTTTCTAATTTTAATTAATCATTTAAATTCAAAACTGTGTGTTGTTAGTTGTTTTTCACTGTCATCAACGTTAAGTATAACTTCATTATGCATGTGGGG